TACAAAGAAAGATGCTTACCCTTTACCAAGGATTGATGAGATACTAGATTCGCTAGGAAAATTCAAATGGTTCTCGACATTGAACTTAGCCAGTGGCTATTAGCAAGTAGAAATGAATCACGACAGCCGTGAAAAGATAGCTTTCATCACCCAAAAAGGCATATACAAATTTAACGTAATGCTTTTTGATTTAACAAATGTGCCTGCAACCTTCCAACGACTCATGGATACTGTATACTCTGGTCTAGCTTGGATCTTTCTCGTCATCTATCTTGATGATACCAATATCCATTCACCGTCATTTGGAAATCACCTGAATTATTTGAAACAAACCTTTCAAAGGTTACGAGAAGTAGGACTACGCCTTAACATCGACAAATGTCACTTTTGCAAAGAACAACTAGAATTCCTAGGACACATTATCATACAAGACAGAATTCAACCAGACCCAACTAAAGTAGAAAAAGTAAAAGACTTCACTCAACCTACGAATATTACTGAGTTGTGAGGATTTCTAGAGCTTGCATCATATTACTGACAGTTCATACAAAGATTTTCAAGCATTGCTGATCCCTTACATAAATTATTAAAAAAGGAAGAAAAATATCAATGAAAGCCAGATCAGGAAGCAACATTTCAACAATTAAAAAAAAAACTTACCAATGCACCAATTCTCCTCTATCTGGATTTCAGAAGAAATTTATACTCGTCACGGACGTCTCTAAACTCAGACTAGAAGTGATACTTTCTCAACTAGACCAAGAAGGAAATGAAAAACAGTAGCCTACGCGAGTCGTAACCTTGCACCAGCTGAACAAAATTACGCCGCACATGAGATGGAATGTCTCGCCGTAATTTGAACCATCAAGTACTTCCAACAGTACTTATTGGAACAAAAATTTGACTTAATCACGGATCACATTGGATTAAAATGGCTAATCACCAAATCGAACTCCATCGGAAGAACTATGCATTGGATTATCACACTACAAGAGTATGACTTTGAAATAACATACAAATCTGGAAGAAAACATTCCAATGTCGATGCCTTATCACAGATACCCCACGAATGATTACAACCCAACGAACGGATTACTTTCACACCTGATGAAAAATGATCACAACAATGAACCAAGAACTATATAACCTGTAGATAAAGTATATAGAAAAAGATCAATCAATTATAGCGAAATTATCGTCTGAACAGAAACAATATCTACAAACAAACAAAAACAATTACTTTATCATCGAAAATTGACTCTACCATAAGAAAAATAATGAAGAAAAACTAAAACAAGTCATAACGGAAGATAAAAAGGATATTATCCTTCATCAAGACGAATATTCCGGACATCTTGGAAGAAACATCACTATCAACAAAATAAAAGAACGTTATTATTGGATCAAATACAAAAAAGATATCAAAAATTATATACAAACCTGCCAGATATGCCAACAATGCAGATATCCAAAGAAAACTGAACCACTAAATTCAATCAAAGTTAATCGCCCGTTCGACCGAATAGGAATCGACATTGTAGGACCACTACCAACTACATCAAACTGAAACCAGTACATAGTAGTTGCAATGGATTATCTCACCAAATGGCTAAAAGCGCGAGCATTGAAAAGAACTAATACAATTAGCGTAGAAAAATTCATCAAGGAAGACATTATAGTTCGTCACGGATGCCTGAAAGAAATTCTCTCTGATCAAGGAACCCACTTCGTAAACGACACGATCCAACAACTTTGTAACTGTCTGAATATAAAACAAACTTTATCGTCACCCTATTATCCCCAAACAAATAGACTAGTAGAAAGATATAATCGAATACTTACCGAAACGCTAGCCAAACTCGCTATCCAAACAAAAATGCATTGGGATGAACACATCTTTGCAGCTCTCTTCGCATACCGAACAGCCAAACAAGACACAACCAATTACACCCCATTCGACCTAATGTACGGAAGACAAGCAACCTTACTCATCAAATTACAATTATCAACACAATCAAATACGAACAACGAAAACTTTGAAACAGATCTAAATAAATAAATATACGAGTCTATCTACATTATCAACGAAAAGAGACTCCAAGCAAAAGAAAATATCGACACCATCCAAAGAAAACAAAAATAATGACACAACAAAAATCTATCACAAAAGGAATATAATATAGGAGATCACGTACTAGTCTATCACAGTAGACTAGACAAACAATGGACAGGAAAGTTAGAACCAAAATGGAACGGACCATATACTATTCATCAAAAACTGAACAATAGTGCTTACCAATTATCTGACGAGAACGGAATCCATGCACGATACATACATGGAAACTGATTTAAAATATACAATGAACAAAAAGAATAATTCGAGGACAAATCTTCAGAACAAGAGGGGAAAATCACCAAAAACACATCATTCGTACTCATTCCCATCTCAAAGAAAGACTTAACACAATACAAACAAAAGAAAAATAGTAAAAATTAAAAAAAAATAACAAAACAAAATAATAATAACTAAAAGAAGTTTAATAAACAAAAATCGAAACACTCAACCAATCAACATTCAACACGTGATCCTCTAGATTTGACATTAATAGATTAAAAGTTTAAAAAGGAAATGACGATAATAATAAAAATTTAATAATAATGACAAACAACGAAGTAATAAATGAACCAAATTAACGAAACAACAATATCCAATAATGAAATAAATGAAATATGGCAATTAGCCACCAGTTTCAGTAATAAAATCCAAGAAAATTGCCTGGACGTTACATTTATGATCAATTTCACAGGACCACAATTATCTGTTTTACCTATAAAAGACTTCCTTGTGGAAGAAGAAATCACCGAAGAAATAACATGAAATAATTTAACAGAAGAAAACAGCGAAAGTTCCTCTTAATTGGATAAAGCTGTAGAGAAAATAAATTAACAGTTAAAGGAAGCATGGAAGAAGAAAAAAAAAGATATAGTAAAATTTCGCCATATAAAGACAACACCCAAAGGAAGAATTAAAAAATTCTGGACAGAATTTGAAAATTATTTTCGCTCTCAGGTTAAGAGTGGTAAAAAACTCTTTTTCTTATGGAGTATTGGAAATAAGTTAAGACATTTAAAGGACAATAGGACAAGCCAGTTACAGTTAATGAAAGGAAATTTTGAAAATTCTTTTACAAGTTCCTTAAGAAAATGATTGCAATTAGCAAAATGGCTTGCACACACCTTTTCCAATACCCCAGAAAAGTTGTTGTTCACAAAGCAATCTTTTACAAAGAGTTATGTTAATTAGATCAAACACAATTAGATCAAATAACTCTATTGGTACAAAACTGGTTATGATTGATATGGAACTCAATCCTTAAAAAGAAGGGGAAAATGTTACGATTGGAAATCCTTATAATTCCCATAAAATTCTGTAATTTTATAATTTCTATATTCTCTATAATTTCTATATTCTTTATAATTTTTATATTCTTTATAATTTCTATATTATTTACATATGTTTTATATATGAATTATTTGAATTATTCAATATTTGTTAATTTTATAGTTTTTGATAAATAAGTTAAAAATGTAATATTAGTTAATGAAAAATATTTAATATAAATAAAAGCATAATTGAAGTCTTAAAAAAAATATCAATTAATCAATACAAAAATCTAACTAGTTAATAAATTGTTCTTATTTATTGTTAATAAAATTTATATATTAATTGATTGAATAATAACTTATTAAAATACTTGCATTTATTGCATATTATTGGATATCTGTTAAAGTTGCTATAGAATATCAGTATTGTATTACTATAAAACTGTCCCACACTAAGTAGACATAATATTTATTAGTAATAGTAAGAACCTATTCAATGGATAAAAGAAAATGCACTGCATAATAATCTTGAAGTATATTCATTACAAAGAGATCGAGTAACTGTAAAAATTACTATTATCAGATATTGGTTGAATACTTACATTATGATAATACCTATTAGGAACCTGATCGTGACATTTTATTGCATATTAATTCTAATATAATTAAATTAAAGTTAGTGAATTATGAGAAATTACAATATATATTGATTGAATATTTATATTACAAGATTATCTATTAGAATTCAGAACTTATAATAATATATCAGAAGCTGGCTAGCAACCAATTTGAAATGCATAAATAAAAGATAAACTTTCATAGTCAAATATATAAATAAAGAGTTTATATAAGAAAAATATGGATATAAGATAAATTTTTTATTATGATACAGTCAAATCTCTTTATAATTATCACTCTTAAAAAAGCAAAATTTGGTAACTATAGAGAGGATGTGACTATAGAAGAAATTTTTTTACTATATTTATATGTAAATAGGAAAGTAAAATAGGATAATTATAGAGATATGACTATAAATGAATATAATTATAAAGAGATTTGACTATAATAATAAAAAAGAAAGCTTATTTTATTAGGTTTATAAAGGATCATTAAAATGTAAAATCTGGAAAAAGAAACTAGTTGTAAAAATTGCATTAAAATAGTATTAATAAATAAACTATTTATTACAGAAATTAGAATAATTCATCTTCAAATAAAAATCTTTTCCAAATTAAAGAAAAACAGAAATCAAGATTTATTTTGTTTAATAGAGAAATAATTCAAATAAATTTTTAATGTAGATAATTATGACAAAAATATTATACAAATATGGAGTTATCATAAAAGTGAAATTGCACAATGATGAAAATTTTATATAAAAATTGAGTGATCAACATGTCAATTATAATAATATTAACATTTTGAACTCTTATAAAGAGACATGTTTTTAATTGATAATAAATAAATTATGAATTAAAATAAAAAAAAATTCAAATTAATTCAAATCAAATTTATTAATTAAAAAAGAATACTATTATTAATACAAAGAAACTGAAATTAAAAGCAAATTTTATAATAAAGAACTAAATAAAAAACAAAAAAAAATTATTAACTTTATGAAAGTAAATATAAATATAATCATAATTATATATGTGATAGAATTAATTATATCTTTTTTTATAATAATTGGATAAATAAATTACTAATTATTAATTAGTAATTAATTGGATAATTGTATAAATACTAGAATTATCAAATATAAAAATAAAAAATATGTATAATTATAATATTATAAGAATTTTTTATTGATATATATAATATTTATAAAATAATTAAATAATTATTTTATATATAAGTAAATACTAAATAATTATTTTATATATTAGTAAATACCAAAAGTTTTATTTGTTATTTCAAATAAGAATTTTTATCTAAAATAACAAATAGAATTTCTGGTATATAAAATATTTATTTATTATATTTTGTACTGACTTGTTTCAACTACAATATGTCACTAATAATGAAGATTTGTATAAATCATCTGGAATTAATTTTTGTTTGAAATTAATTAACACTATGCCAAAAAGAGTAGCAAATATACTTAAAGCTATAAATAAAAAAATTAATCTTGATTAGTTTCAAAAAATTACAAATTAAACTTCAATAAATTATAAAACATTCAAATGAGTTCAAATTTGTATAAAAATTTTTGAAAATCAATGTATATGGTAATATAGCTAATTCGCAATACTCTAGAAGAAGCCGCAGCTTTTTTTTTATAAAAATTTTTCTCCGACTACGAGATTCTGCTACTTCACTGTGCGAAATCAAACTACTTGCTTAAGTCGATACTAATGAATTGTAATTAACGTTCTGGTTATAGCTTTTGAAACACGAAGCATCCAATTTGGCAGTGATCAATCTTTTAATGAAAAGAGTCATTCTTTAATTATGTAAAAAAAGTATTGAATGCTAAACTAAAGCTTCAGAATTTCTATTTTCAATCACTTAGAACAATTATTAGTAAACAGTACAATGTATATTAATCCATTCCGCAATGATTATTCTTATATAAATCATGCATTATACACAATATCTTAAAGCCTTCACAGTCACTACGTATTGATAATAAAGACAATAAACAAGGAAATTAAGGAAATGAAGAATCAATGCCTTTTACTTTCCTGAAAAGATTTTGGTGTAACAGATTGATTTTCACGCGTTAATATTGTTTTTGAGGTTTGTACAATATCGTGATTCTTTGGTAAGTATTGTTCATCAGGTGAATAACAATACATTATCAAAATGAATAGAATAATAATAACACATTTTATATAAATCTATAAAAGGACGGTTTCCTTCTCTCTTCATTAATTAGAAATACTCTCCATTAATTAAAAAAATGTCATTCTACGATTTGACCGCAACCACAATTCGCCATGAACCATTCAACTTTTCAGAATTAAAATCTCAAGTAGTCTTGATTGTGAATGTGGCGTCGAAATGTGGCGCTACGCCTCAGTATACTGGCTTAGAACAGTTATACGAGAAGTATCGTGATAGTGGTTTGGTTGTTCTTGGTTTTCCGTGTAATCAATTTGGTTCTCAAGAGCCTGGTGATGAGAGTGGTAAACATATCATATTACAGTAGTATTTTGGCATTATTTACTTTATTGAAATTTGATTTTTTACATATAATTTTCAGCTATAGCAGAATTCTGTCAATCAACTTTTAGCATCAAATTTCCATTACTCTCGAAAATTGATGTAAATGGCGAAAACACTCACCCTGTCTATAAATATCTAAAGTCAAATAACCCAAATGATAGTGGTAATATTAGGTGGAATTTTGAGAAATTTTTGGTGGATCGTAATGGAAATGTTGTCGCAAGAAAATACACGCAAGATACGGTAAGCAAGTGACTGTTTTTGTTTAGTGAAGTTAGATGGACAATTATCTTATTCGACTCTACTTTTTTTATCAAAAAGCCGGACAAATTGGAAAGCTCAATCAAGGAATTGTTGGAAGTGTAATTAAATTCTAGGTGTCATTTTATTTATATACGTAATAACTTAGAAATTACATTAACTAGATGAGGAATTTTTAGTGTCATTGTAGTCTCGCTTGAAGATTTAATTTTATTTTACAATCAATCCATGAAGAATAGAAATTGCGAGACTTGAAATCAATTTTTTTTTCTATTTCATTGACTTTTTCTGAAATATTCTTTTATTCCTTTGTCTATTTTTGTATATGTATTTACACACTTTACACACACGAGAGTGTTTTTTCACTGAACGTTGCAGTCTACAAGTCTATTCCGAAAGATTCTTTTGATTTCTTCAACACTACAAAAAAATTGAGAAATACGTAGTTGGATTTGTTAATCATTAAAATTTTAGACTATGCCGAACTTAAAATTTGTCTTATATAGTGAAAGATTATTTTCTGCTCTTCTATAACAACAACAACAACAACTAAAACAATGATGACGAGAATGCGGTCTTTTTGCTTCTTTCTTCCTACTGATTGTACTGCTTTACCTAATGAATTGAATCTGAGGTAAACTCAACGAGATTTTTTAGTACAACACAGAACAGCACTATTCACCTAATGGAAATGAGTATTGAATAAACACGGACAATTTATCTTTTCTTTCCACGGCTGCCGGATTCTTTGCACGCCCGAAATTTTTCATCAAGCTGATTGCTGTTGCTGGTGGACTCACTTGGTAAATAATGTAAAGAAAGATGGTATATAATCACAAGTATACAGTAGTTAGTCATGCATAAGATGAGGGTTATATTCTAATCTAATCTAATCAAAAAGTTGGTAAAGTGAGAATACACAACTTATTTGGGATTCTTATTGTGTACGAGAACTTTGAGTTAGATAATATACTGCTCCTATTATATGCGCTTTACAACGTGTATGTGTGTGTCTTTTCTTTCAGGACGAAAATTTATGTCCTTTATAAGGAGTTAAGACACCCGAGGATTCTCGGCATTATTAAAAAATTAGTTTGTGATTTATTTAATTACTACAAAGTTAATTTGGAGATGAAACATCGATGAATAAGCAATACATATCGATATTTTATTTATCTAATATTGCCTCTTTATCTTTTTGCACGCATATCTACACGCGTAATAGCAGATTTCTCTTCATAACTTCATAACGCGAAACATGAAAACAACATTAAGACTGACGAAGACCACCACCACCACATTTCTCAATAAAAAAGTGCACGTTTTACATAAATTGTCTTATAAATAAATCATGTGATCTCCTGTTGATAGTAAGGTCAACCCCCTCCCTCCATGCGAAAGGCCTTTAAATTTTAATTGGCTGATTGAAAAATATGACATCACACATGATTTTGGTCCAGACTCCCTCCTCCTCCATCTCTACCCTAATGGAATGATTATATTTGTACCTTTTTTTATGAAAAATTAAAGACGCGTATTTGGCACAAAATCATGAGAGATCGCATACACGAGAAGTATAAGGCAATTCGAAACTTTGAGAGCAGTTTTCTGAACATTCAAAATTTATGCGTGTTAATTAAAAATTGTAATGTTGTGAAACTTTTCATCAGACAGATAGGAAGATGATGTGCTTGTGAAGCAATAAATGAGTGGGTGGGGGAGGTGGAGCGGGTAATGCATTGTTATCCGTTAAAACTTATTCTCCTTGTCCTTCTATTTAATATATGCGAGACTATATCACTAAGAAACTAATTTCAAAGCTACAACTGGTTCTTCATTTTGACTATTCCACTGATCCGGTTTTTCGTGATCGCATTTGTCATAATTTTTGCCTACTTTGGATACTCTTTTGGTGATGATCATAAATATCGTACAACATGGCTTTGGTTGCTAGTGATACACTAAATGTTGTTGGTCTACAACAAACATTAACATCTCCAGTAAAAATCACTGATATCGATATTGTTTTTTTCTCAAAGACCAAAAAAAAAGACCAAAACTTGTTTGCTACATTACAAGAGAAATGGAGCAGTATTCCCACAATAATTGAAGGAATGCTCAAAATGCATCCAAAATAATGGAGACCCACAAAATATTGAATTCAATTAATATTATAACTTTTGTATAAAGGAAAAGTAACAGCTAATTATGATTTAAAAAACAATCAGAGATTAAAGGAACGATACCTAAAATTGATGTGCTGCACACATTTTTGACAAAATTGTTCGCGTTGAGCGCACACCAGTTTGTGCGGAAATTAGAATTGCGCCTCAATGTATACACAATAAAATATCAGTCACAACGCATACACTAGTTTGTCTTACAATGTTGCGATGATGAGAAAATGATTATTGTACCTTATCTAGACTCTTCGAGTATCGCACCTTGAGATATGAATAGTGAATGGTAATCTCTTTATGATAAAATGTCAAAGTTATGAAATAAAGTTAAATTACAGTTTTTCTAGTTATCTTATAAACCCAAGCGAGTATTATTTTGTGCATCATAATCCATTTATCGACTTTACGTTCTTAAATGAAAGCAATTTACTATACACTTTTTTCTTTTATTCTTCCTGAAATTTACCATTAATAAAAGATCGTATATTCGCAATGTAATTAACACGATTTTATACGCAATTTTTTTGCAAAGTTTAATTAATAAAAAAGATGATTGAATAAGAAATTTTATTAATCGTATCAAATAAACAGTTAATATTACAGTATAAATCAAAAATCTCTATATTAGCAATAATATAGAAGTAATAATATACACACATGAACACTAATTACTCTTCTTAATATGATAATTAGTTTTAGATTTGCAAGCAAATTAAACAATTATCAGTCAAAAAAAGAAAAGGAGAGTTTCAATTGCAAGCAAAAGAAACATAAAGAAAGAAAAGATAATTTCTGGCTAGAGAATTGGATCTTCTGCTTTTATGCATTCATCATATTGCCACGGCCTGTATTCTTTTCGTCGCGTTCTTGTAATTCCAAGCTGTATGAATTGATGCAAATGGCAAAGTAGACCTAGATGAAAATAGATGACAATTAATAATTAAAGAATAAAAAATTTAGTAAAATAAAAACAAGTAGTTTTTTTAATTTACCTCGAAAGCCAAAGCAATCATGAATGGAAACACCCAGGCGACAATTGGATAACCGACATAGCCTGCATTACAATCGATCTGAGTCTGAGCTTGAGCCGCAGCATCTTCACAAGTTTTCACAGCAGCCCTATGTGCTGAAGATACGGCAATGCTAACAGCAATAACGAATGCGATGCTGATGACAATGTAGGCGATGATGCTAGCTACGTAAATTTTCACGAATTTGGCAACTCTTGATGGAATTTCATGGTAGATTGCGTGAGCGCCGTAGAATGCGCCAGCTGCGACTAATAGATAGAAACCTCCCATTACTTTCCAAATTATGCTTAAATTACCTAAAGGAAGAATATTTGTTATTTTTCAAAGATATTGATACTTAGAAGTAGTGTGATAGTAATAATACATACCGCCATAAGGTACCAACATTGTTGTGACGCCAGTATAAGCATTCCAAATGAACATGAATGCGGCGATAACGAAAGCGCCAATTCGAAGGGGAACAACAAAGCAACAGAAAGGAAGGCGTGGAATTGCAACCATTTTTGAATCAAAATTTGTGTTAAATGACGGGTAATGTGAGTAGAGTAAATGGGATAAACTAGTGTATGTGTGTATGAATGTATTTATGGGAAGGGTAAAGAAAAAGAGTGAGAGGTGAAAGAATTATTCGCCTTTTGAGGGATAATTGGAAAAATGTGTGTTGATAAAAAATCCACTGCTTGAATGCTTGACTGTATTTATATAGAAAATTTTAATTCTGCGGCAGCGTTCCCTATAAAAGCCACCTTTGAATCTATAAGACATAAAAATCTGTAACGGTAATTAAAAATTAAACTAAACATGTTAAATCTAAAATGTATCACTGCATACATACATCGTATCGATATCAATATTCCGCAGATACTTGATTTATCATTATTGAATTCTTTCTTGTATATGAGATAAGGTCTCAAGGGAAAATGATACTCGTTCGGTAGCCAACCGATAACAATTTTGCGATAAGTGGGAAACATATCTATTCTTAGACTAGAGCGTGAGTAATAACAGATATCAGTAACAACAAACTTTGGGCATACAATTAAAGTTTTTACGCGCGTCAAATTAAACGTAAAAATTTTTTTCTTTGTACTTTATTATCTTATTTACCAATCAGAATTTCTTTTTAATGATCGGGGGTATTTCCATGAACTGAGTTCTATTTGTTTGTTAAACCAATTGCACAAAAGTAACGACAATAGCGATAAAATTTAATTTAATTTAATTTAATTTAATTTAAGGATACAGTTTTTTCTGAGCTAGCCAATTTTAACTATCATTAATACATGTGTGTGGTATCTTTAAGCACTATATATGTATTTATTGTTGTCTGGTGTCTAAAAAAAGCTTGAAAAAGGACAACAAACGCCATTTCATGATGATTTGTTCTCGCGAATTATTTTGTTTAACATTGCCAGTTTTGATATTCAGAAATACGACTAATTTTAGAATTAACATAAATATAAATGAAATTTCATACTAACGCTAATGACGATTCAAATATTGAGAAATACTGCGAATCTAACCGTCGTCAATGATAAAAATATTGAAAATAGCACAACAAATAAAACTTTGAAGCTAGAAGTATCCGGTAAATAAATTCTTTTTCGTGGGGTGGTGATCCCGTTGCAATGCGTGTCCAAGTAAAGGTAAAATCCGTAGATTGAATATCCAAGAGCATAACTCAATCCAAATGCGTACCATCTTTATTCAAAAATTAATCAATGGTTATAATCGATATTGAAGGAAGTAATGATATGCTAATAATACGATACTCACGCATATCGATTATCAACCCAGACTGAATTTGTTATGTTCCCACCAAGATGAATGGAGGCCGCGATGATCAATAAAATTAATGGGCGTGGATGATCAACAACATTTGGATAGAAATGATATTCGCTGTTGATATTTAATTCAACTGAAGAGGGCAAAAGTATCTCTTCTTGGTCGTCCGTAGGGAGAGTTGTTGGAAGTGCATCTTGTGAATTGTCTCTGAGATTTTTCTTGGTCACGTAATAGAGACGCGTAAATTGTATAACCATTGCCCAGTCAGAGCAAAGTCCTTTTTTTAATATGTATTTGGGAAAGGAATTTTAATATTTTCATTATAATTTTTCTGGACATACGTTGTTATTACCTTGAACTTTAAACCAAATTCCATCATATGGCCAATCCAAAAGTACACTCAAAAGATTTGTAAGAACCGTGTAAAATCCCAATAATCCAAAATAGGCAAAATGACTCTTCACTTTTCCACCATTATGTAATACTAACATAATTGCAATCTCCAACATATTATGCAACGATCCAAATATCGACCACAGCTTTCCCACATCAAAAATTATGACGGCAACCGCGGCAATAAATGTACTGAAGATATAATAGGCGATAAGTTGATCGAAAAGTGTGGTTGGAAATGCGGCGCCTCCTTTGTAAAAGTATGAATTTGTGAGAACGGTGGCTGGTTTTGATAGCGAATAACTGGAAGTGGGTGACGTCCATTGAAGACTGTAATACGAAGAGATACCCATGGCTATCGTGGCGAAGAAGTCAATTGCTTCATTTTTTTCAAAGTTAAATTCTGCATATATTTTGGAATTGATCATGAGAATTAACGTAATTCAATTTATCAACTACTAATTGTAGTGCAAACCTTTAATAGGCGGGTGCCAAGAAGGAAGTCCGGTCCATCTTGCGGGCGCTTGTTCTAAAGTTTTACCTAAATCCGGGAAACTGAATAAAAGTAACACCAAAGAAACAAGCGCTACAAATAACACAAGAATTTGAACTAACGATAATCCCATATTTTATTTCTCTTATTTCCTATTATATTAGCAAAACAAAAACGACAATATCATCAAAAATAATAATAGAATAAAATAAAATAAAATAAAATAAAATAAAAAAATAAAATACAATGAATGCTATTTATATATATACGTATATTTCCGTCATTATTATGTACCACGACGGATAGTGTTTTTTTACCATATAATGGCGTAAACAGGTTAAATATGTAAGCCATGTGAAACGCGTCCTTATATAGTTATCAAATGTGGTAGAAAGAATAATTTATTAATGTTTCGTAATTTTCAAAATTAGGTTATCAAAGTTCTACAGTGCGTTACCTCTAATAGAAAAAAAAGTAGCAACATGTAATTTTAACAATTCTTTTTACATAAACAATTAAAAAATTTAACTAATAATAATGGAAGGCTAAGACCTTAGCTTTAATTATTGTCTGTTCAATTTTTTTTTAAATAAAAAATTCTTGTTATTAAATCTTTCGCTTTATAGGTTCAAAGTGCTGATAAAATTGAATATGATTGGTCAGATTTATAAGTGTGATTATTCTTTTTATATTAATGCTGAAAATGCATTATTTAAAATTGTATCTTCTCAATAGAAAATATATAAACTTCAAAATAAAATATATTACTTGATAGTACTTATCAAATGATGTATTTTTTTACATTTAAAATTCATATAAAAAAATCCTTTGCAATTCAAAGTATTTGATGCGACTAATTTTGAAAAATTGGGAAAATTTAAAAACTAACTGTTTTTTTATCCTAGGCAATTATAAATGTAATTTATTTAGTTTTTAATTGTTTTTTAGAATCTTCTTTTGTGAAGGTTACGCACTGTATAATAAGTCTTTAATAAATTAATTTTAGACATCAAAAATTATCCACTCTAATAAATAATGCTTTAATTTATGGTATGGTAAACTACAAAAAAATCTGATTTCAAGAAAATTCAGACAAATAAGCAAATTTCAGACACGAATTGTGATTTTCACCAAAAATGTCGTGAAATTTAAAGTTCAGTGAATTTAAGGCAAAAGTTAGCATAAATTTGAAAAACTCTGTATACATGAACAAATCTTAGTACAGTCAAACCTCGATATAACGACCCTCGATAATGACGAAGCATTAATAGAACCTGGATAAACCGAAGTTGGTTCCAGAAGCGGTTATAGTAAATCCACCTCGATAAACCGAATTTACTAATAAATCTAGAATTTTTCAAATTTTTTACTAATAACCCGACCACTTCGTTATCTCGAGGCTTGACTGTAGAAATTAAGTAAAATTGAGGAAAAATTAACATATTTCGGGGGAAATTTTGCAAAATACAATAAAATCCATCAAAATATAACTATGAATGCGTTATTTTTCCAAAATACATGTCGATTACACGAACTTCCAAAAAAAATTACTGATGATGTCACGCGTAATCAATAAAAAAAAGTTAACGCAAAATCTTTAACGCATCGCGTTGCATTCCTTCTTTATTTCTTCAGAAAATAGAAGAACCAGCTAAAGAAAACATGGCAAGCATTGTCTTTTACACTCCTTTTACTTCATTCTCTCAGTTAAATAATTAATAATCATCCTTTTTAAACTTTTTTCCGAAGAGTCTATTCCTCAATTTACTTTTATGCTACTCTCTTATTTTACTCCAAACCTCAATTCCAAAAATTTTCGTTATTCCTTTATGCTACACCCTTTTTTAACTATATTTTAGTAACAATTAAGCTTATTCCAAGACTCATAGAGCTAGAAACATTTCTCTTTATCCCAAAACCAATTGTACTCTTTTTCTTTTCAAAAACGCGTTTCACACAATTCGATTTGGTTATGCTTTTTCGACAGAAAATTGTACCTTTTAAAACTTTTAATACTTCTGAGCATGCTCGCATGTATTGTCGAAATTTAAACTTCGAGTCATTATAATTTCTTCGAAACAACTACCTTTCTAATATTAATATTAATATTACCAATAACATTGAAATAATGATTTATCAAAATAAAAAAAAATATTAAGCTTTTATTTGCCATATATTGATAGTAGATATGGTAAGTTTTTTATACTTTTGAACTTAAGGTTTTTTAAGTTTGCAATTTTTTTTAACTAAGTATTACTACATATTATTCTATTATTACAAAGATTATAAGATAATCCACTATACGCTAAAGAAATCCATTATGCCTTAAATAAATTGTGTCAGTATGCATTTATACATTGCACAAACATGCAAAAAATAAATTAACAAACAACAATACCATCAGTTGTATCCCAGGTCGTCAACTCATCAGAACCGACCGAACCTTTATTTAATTCTGTGATGCTCTTCGAGGTATCGTTGAAACAATGATCCAATTCAAAATATTGTGTCAACATTATTTCAGGGTTCTGGGTTGTTGTGCTCGGTGTGGTCACCGAGAACGCGCTACTTTCTGGACTTGTAATATTCTAAATTTCGAGTCTAGAATTAGCAACTTTTCAGAGGAAAATGAGATGAAACCCTAATATTTCCGTACCTCCTCGCCAAACAACAAAGAAGGTGCTTCCAATGGCGAATATAAATTGATGTCATTGAGACTAAACGAGGCCTCAGAAATTGGTGAAATGTCTTGGTGATCCCAAATTATTTGCGAAGATGAATCTTGGGAAATAATCGGGATCATTAGATTATCTGTATGGAAGAGTCGATTTTCATTAGCCCAAGAATCAACTTTGATTGTTGTTTCGCTATTATTATGATTGTTGTTGAGTCTCCTGAGCTTGGGTGGAGGCGTCTCTATTCTCAAAGACATTTGATTCTTGCGCTTTTTGCATTCTGTTGGATTAAGCGGCAATATGTTCGCTGATGATTGTTTCTCGGCTTGAACTAAATTTAGTTCCCTATTAAAGGAAGCTTGTTGATGGAGAATTGATACATAAACATTATTTGCTTGGATGTTCTCATTTACTTCTTCACATAAGGACTTTTCATCGTTACCGTCATTATCATCATCCCATGATTTCAGTATTGGACGCAAAGGAACTTCCCAGTGATTGTCAGCTTCTTCGTTTATTGAACTGAAATTTCGAGGATTTTCGGCTTTGTAAATAAAATTGTTCATGAAATCCTGGTCAGATTCCGTGTCGTCATCGTTTTTAATAAGCTCCGATTCAGATTCTTTGAGTTTCATTATCGAAGAGGAGCTAATAGTGTCGCACTGATAGTAGGAATGGAGCGCTTTCTTCACATCGGTATCGCGATTGTTTTTTATGTGAGAAGTATTGTTATTAACTGATTGATTAATAATTTCTTGATCGGATATATCATCTTTGTCTGTCATGAAAAATTCGCGATATTTATTGAAGAAGTCAGATTCCTTAGATGATTTATTTGTCGAGACGCGTTCGATTTTATTTAACCAGTTTCCTGGATGGATCACTGGTGGCTCTTTATAATTACGTCGATTTTCTTCCTTTTTCATCGGCCTCTTTTTATCCTTACGGAGCACTGAACGCATTTCTCTCTTTTTCTTCCTTATTAGTGCTACAACTTCTTTGATTTCATCTTGATGCTCTTTTTTACTTCCGAAGTTTACTATCTTTTTCCCCTTTTTATCCTCGAGCTGAGTCGGATCATATGTGCTTACACATCGGGGGCAATAATATTCATCATCCAGATCTTCACTGTTCAAGCCAAGACATTCTAAATGTAACCAACCACGACAATGATCGCATTGTACCATATTGCCGCCATCGTCATCAGTTTCGCAGAAACAATCGACCATGTCATCACGTGCTAATCTTTTTCTGGTGAATTTATCCGAGCAATGCTAGGAATATTGGAGTATTGCACGATGCAAGATTAGTGGTTGTTGATTTAGGCTTAATTGAGTCATATATATAAATACCTTGATCATTTCGCAGCGACTTTTATGAAATGTCAGATTGTTTTGAGCTTTATAAGCATTGCCACATCCAGGGCACAGAAAGCATCGCTCACCTAAATACACAAAAAATTGAATTAAAGAAAATGCAACAGGTTATATATGTCGTGCTTTTTGGATGACCTACCTAATATCACCTCTTCTACCTTGGAGATTGTCTTACCACCGACCACACCTGATCGAGATGGTGTCGAAGATTTTTCTGCATTATCTGAACTTTGTTTTTTACCGGGACTTTGCTTGTTACTATACAACATTGATTCATCAAAGTTGTCACACCACTCTGCTGGGATTGTCTTAATTCCTTTTCCTTCCATGGAACAACTGGACTTGAACCGAGCTTTTGCAATCATTCTTTGTTGAATATCGCGAAGCCTCTGCCTTATTTCATCTTGTGGGTTTGGTTTGATCGTTATTTTATTATTTTCATGATTATTAATCTTACTTGCGAGTAGATCAATAGAGATTTTTGAATCATCATCTTCGTTAATATTAGCAAAGTAACCACGTAAAATTGAATTTGATTTTTCATCACGAAGATTCGAACCGTGGTTAGCATTAATTGATGATACTTTATTAAAATTGAAAGGTAATAATGATCTATCGTCATCATTTTCTCGAATGAACGTCGGTAATCCTTTTCGTCCGGTTATTGGGTGCGAGTCAACGACGAATATAGCAAGATTTGGGTTAGATTCAGGTGAATTAGTCGATTTGCCGACAAGATTTCCGAATTCCGAGATGATACACTGATCATCGGAGAAATGTGAAATCTTTTCATTCGACGAAAAGCAATTAGTTGAGCTTTGAAACGAATTATAATTGTCATCACTCTCAGCCCATTGTTTGACATAGGATGATATTTGTGGAGATGATCTGGTACGATATGCTAGATCTTTCTGAAGTTCAAATGATAAAGTATTGCATGATAGTTCATTATTATTGGGTCCTCGGTCTTTATGACCTTGGTTTCCGAAAAGGTTTCGAGTTGGATTCATGTTTGTTTTATGGATTATAGAAAATATTTTTGAATAATAAATTTGAAGTTAATAGAAATTCTAGGTAAAAATATTTTGTAAAGGGCGCAAAGATAAAATTTTTATGTATATTATGTATAAGGGTAAACTTGAACGACAAGTAAAAGAGATATGTACCACAAAGTAAAAAAGTATAATAAGGTTTGGTTGTTGAGTAGGTGGGTAAAGTAATAAGAAAGTAAAAAGAAGTGTCGTTATAAGGAGTGAGAAAAGTACCCTAATTTTTTGTGGGTACGAAAAAATTTTATGTTAAACACATAATCCGCTACGAAACCGAGACAGCAGACCTTGAAACGAAAACGATATCTGTATCTTGATGATATTCATTTGACATTTATCGTTATTATTACAATACAAAAAATATCAGTTACAACTGTATCATATATGTTTAATTAATTAAGGTTAATACATCAAGGGTAAAAATAATCATCATAACTCACGAGTGATGTGGTGAAAATGAATTCATAGTTTTACCGGAAAAAGTAATTAGTAGCGTGGAAAAAATCAAATCTCGTTACACATTTATTTATTATTCGAGTCTCCATTGTATGCGGTTAAGTCTTTTCGTCTTAGTTGCAGTCTGGGTAACTAAACTGACTAATAACGTCTTTTTGACTTTTTGGTATTTGAAAACGGTATACGCTGGTCGGTACTTATATAATAAAGGATAGGTTGATTATCATAATCGACGCGTGGTATTTTTCCACCTTGCTTTCTCGCAAGTCGATCATCAACCTGACAATCAATTCTTTGTTTCGTTGGGCTCAAATATCTTCTCCCAGAGGAGGAGGAGAAAAAGAGGGTAAAGACGAGCTTTGCCTTTTAATCATTAATTATATCCCGGTGCCTGGGTCTCATTTAAAGCAAAATTAGTTTGATACATATAATAAACTCACGAAATATCGAAATTTTTCATTGAAAAAATTGATTGTGTTTGTTTTCTCTCATGATCATGAGTTGTCATCACTCACATGGAAGCACCAGATTGATAATAAAAACAATACGGCAATTCGCAATAATACGCCAATTCGTAATTCGTAATAACTCGTGCACTTTTAGTCAAATCGGTATTTTTGTCAAAATAGTAATTATTAGTTGGTCAGTCAATCAGCCTTGTTTGAAGAAAATCAAAATTATGTATGATAATAATGATATAAGAGTAGTCACGTGTTATATATTATTATATTTTTATTTTGCATTATTCAAAAATCGTGAACATAGTGAATTTCTTTATGGAGGCTCTTTATCGATTGTTACACAAAAAAGTCGATACAATTAGTAAATTTTCTTTCTATATCGATATAGTGGATAATTCATATATATATAGTAGATAATTCGTATATAGTAGATAATTCGTATATAGTAGATAATTCGTATATAGTAGATAATTCGTATATAGTAGATAATTCGTATATAGTGGAGGAGAATTTCTACCCCTATACTATCGCTATAGAAAGTGACCGTTATAGCGATGAGAAATATTTCGATGCTCAGCATTTAAAATTACAATTCCTGCACGGTTAAAATTATTTGGTCACCTGACTATCAATCTAGCCCGATATGGAATGTATTTGTATCGGCATGCGTTCTTCTTTGTGCATATGCATATAATAAAATAAAATGCTTCAAACGTTTCGCGCGAACAGACCAAATAGCTTTAATCATGAAAGAGAAAAAAGTAGGCTGAAGCTAACAAACAATAAACTTTTAAAGCAAGTTCAAGACTTTATTTAGATTGCTTAGTTAGTTAGTCACAGAATAATTAATTACGTTGAGCTTCGATATATTAGATGCGTGACGTGTTGGTCGAAGTGGCTCGGTCTTTTATATATAGGCTGTGTACCTCGTGTTACCATCCTGCGAAACAAACTAAATATATGCTAAAAAATAGAGTATTGAATTATTACGTATTTATGTATGATTTGGAATTACGAAATTTCTCTTCTTTTGCATATAATTGTGGTCGGGGTGAATGAATAGTGTAAATAGTGACGATACGGGAATAGTTCGTGTTTTCATCGTTTTGATTTTTTCTATTTATTATTATTAGTAAAAGTTTATCATTCTTCCTTTTGTAAATATTTATATAATTAACCCTGGAAGAAAGCGAAATAATAAACACTCTAGGTAGGTTTTTCTTTTCGAGAGGGAAGGAGGAGATAGAAATGTACGCAAAACACACACACACACATACGTCATAGTTTTCGCGCTACCATGTTGAGCGAGAAATGAAATTTCTTTCAACTCTTCTTTTCTCTTATCGAAACTAACCGCGCCATTTGACAGACTTTTTAGTCATATTGCTCCTCCTCCGGAAAATACTTTTCACCTACCACCTATCAATTATCAACACTCAAGTTGGTTTCATTTTGTTCAAAACTCGGTTTCAACTAGTAGTTGGTCGCACTAAAGTTTCTTTGGTGCGTGTATGCGTTTTCATTTCGTTGGATCTCGTGTCAATCAACTATTACAAAAGGATCAAAAGAATTTCTCGGATTCTCTCAATAGAAATAACCAAAACTATAGACAGTATTTTCCTATCGAATAATCGTATGGTTTCACATAATAAAAAGACAGCGAGTCCAAAACTAGATTGGCTTGCATTAACGGTCACTTTTATAATACTTTACGTTTGCCGGATAACAGCAGTAGATGCTCAAACAATATTGGGTGGGTTAAATAGCAATACACGCATGCCTCCATGTTTTTCATTAAATGGAAGTGAAGCATGTCGAGCATTTGAAAACTATTCCATATCAAGTTCAATATCGTCAACCTGGGATTTTTTATACACAATTGAAGATATAAAGCAATTCGATGAAGAATTAAAAAAATACGTGAACATTAAATACCTGGAAGACAATTTTTCTTCGGTGTGTCCGAATCTTAATTCCAGCAAAATTCATTTACAGTATACGACAACACTATTATGTGCTGAAATGGTTCGTGAGCCAATATCATTGGCTTGCACAGGATTGAGTAATCAAAACACTCCAATGACAATCAATGATGATAAACCGACGAAACCGCCAGTTTTATGTCAAGTTACTTGCCAAAGTTATAATATGTCATTGCAATTATTTGTCAAGAATAGAACATTATGTGGTGGTGATGAGAATAGAGATTTAAATAGCATTACTTTGGGAGCTTGTGGATCAACAAGTAATGATACCACATGCATTTCGGGATTAGACAATGAACCTTTGAATTGTGGTAAGTAAAATAAGTTCAGGTGGTGCTATAATATAGTTGGAATGATAACTTTTCATTATTAAATCGCCTGATATTTATTAATATATGTATCCTTTCTAGGCTTTCAACAGGATACTTATTCCCTTTGTCAATACTGCAAAAAATCATCATCAACAAGTTCTGATTTATGCTGCAAAAAAGCTAATCTTACTCAATGTCCAACTCCAAGTCCCACGAGTGCAATGAGATCTCCAACTCTTAGCACCTCGCCAACTTCCACTCCTAATCCTCCACTGAGTACAGGAGGAATAGTGGGTATAGTCTTGGGATCGGTCGTGGCTGTGATAATGTTGGTCTTATTTTGCCTATGGAGATGGAGGTCACGTAGAAAAGGTGGGAATTTACTGTCCAATATGTTGAATGGAATTCAAGTGAAACAAATTGGAAGTACAATTTTAACAACGCCACCATTAGTTTCGGATCCCGCAAGAAATACTCCAAGAAATACATTCTCTGAAAACGCGCCACAAGATGGTCCACGTAGAAGTGGCGATATGATTTATACTGTAGTATTAGATAATGAGTCACAACCACCACAGCCACAACAGTCTACTTTAACAAACAATAATGCTATTATCTCTACTAATCCGACTACCTCTACTAATCCTATTACCTCTACTCCACCAGATCCAACTGGTATAGCCATACCAGAAACATCTCCCGAATCGACTGATAACAACGAATCGGATGAAGACATCGTGCAGGTGGTTCATCCATATACACCCGTTCTTCCAGATGAATTGGAATTAGCGCCTAATGATGTGATTATAATTAAAAGGTTATTTGATGATGGGTGGGCAGTGGGAATTAATCGTGATACTGGAAAGGAAGGAGCATTTCCTCTTGTATGTATTGCAAGTCCCGAAATCGTTAGCCAAAACTCGCAAGATCCACGGATTAGTATCGGAGTATCGGAATTATCACAACATTCAACGAACAGTAGTGAATTTTACTCGGAATCATCCGAACCAAATACAACAACATCAAGTCCAAATGGAAAAAGACAATATAGCATGTCGAGTAGTGGATCAAATGTTCCACGGCGGAATTCTAGTATGCGTCGTCAAGCGTCTGAAATCGGTCATTCTGATGATGATGATGATGACCAAGAATCTCAAACAATACCTAAGAAAGCGGCGGGGGATGATGAAAGAGTACTTGTACTAAAATCATCTCATGATAACTCGAACTTTATTGAGGATTTTGATGGAGCACGTGACAGTGACGACAAAGTTTGATCAAAATCTGGACTTTAATTTTTCTTTTGATTATTAATATTTGAATCATGTAGTAATGAAAATTTCAAAAGAAACAATTGGTATTATTATAATTATTACTAATATTACTAATATTACTAATATTCTTCAATTAAATTATTTTCTTTTTCTCATTAGAAAGAAATTGTAAAGCATATACTCATAATTCCCTTTTTTTCTCTTAAAATGTATAATAATCTAATATTTTTTTTATTTTTTAAAAAATCTTTTCCATCGTCATCATAATCATCACCAACAACAAACCAAACTCACCATTGAAAATAATTTTCATCATTCACACATCACATTTTCCAATCATGAGTGCCATTTATCGATCCTTTTTCCATATATTCATTATGAGAATCACATTAATCGGTATGGACATAAAATTCCTTCGAGAATAAAGCTAACAATATTAAAATTTTCGTTACCGGAAAAAATTTATGGTGTCCAGTATATGATATTACATTAGGAGTGACAGATTGGGTGGAGTCAGTAGAAAAGGGACAATTCTATTAGAGTAATTTGTTGAGGAAGGTAGGGAAAAGGGAAATCTCAGGTTCTATAAATTTATTATCACGTGTATATTATATCTTAGGAGGGGGAATCTTTATAATAAATGATATCTGCCACGCCCTTATTGTTTGTTATTATGGTTATAATGTTGTGGAAATTGCAATTTTGATGGTTTTATTGACTTGATTATAAGCAATTAAAATTTCTCAAGTAACTTCGGACCTAGTCTATTGAAATTTAAAAATTATACCACTTTTCTTTCAGACTGGATCTACGAAATTTGCAACTTAAATGATAAAATAAAGTACTAGATAATGTAATTTTAATGGAACGTAAGTTTCTTCAATACAAATGGATACGAAAGAAGATTTTATTTTACTTGTAAAAGCAAAATCTATTAATTTTTGTCAATGCATTAATCAGTGAATAATTAAAAGAAGCTAAGAATAGCCTTTCCATTCGAACTAAACAACACCAACTCGTTATTACGTTGCGACGTGTCATCGTCCCCTTTATATCCGGTTTTCATTTGTTTCGTGTCAATTGTGTATTGGATATCATGACCTCCCTTAATCTCTGTTTTACCATTTGAGGTGGCCATGTGGAAACGACCTTGATATTCATCCGACTGAAACATGGCAGAAAAAAATATAAATATGTATAAAGATTAAAAAAAAGTTAAGGATATTTACATACCACGTCCATAATTATATGCCCATTTGAAGTCTGACCAGTGATTCTTGTGATTTTTCGCTCATAATTACTAACATCGTCGTCGTTCGGTAGATAAATCTCAACCTCTATATTGCCACTCGATGTGGCTGCCTGCCATTCACCATTCACATAATAAGATCCTTCAATATTTCCATTTGTAGTATCCAATGAAATTTTTGGAATAGTATTACTTCCAGATGAATCAACTTCCTCGTCTGGTTCAGTAATTTCAACGAAAATTTTACCATTTACTGTGTGTGCCTCGAATAACTCGGAATACGGGTAAATCCCAAAAATCGCGGAATTAATTGTTTCGAGATGAATCGATTTTATTGGAAGATTGACATCATCATCATCATCATCATCATCATCAAACAATAACTGATCAACAATAGTGTCGATTTCCGCGTTTGACGTGTGAAAAGTGAGTGAATCTGAAACTAAATATGATCCACTAATTTTGCTATTTGAATATATGCTTATTTGACGTGCTTGAAGATTATCCGCTTGAATATGAGAATCATCAAAAGCTCGCCACTTAACCTTCTCAAATATCAAGCCTTTCATATCTTCAGTAGCAATTTTCGTATTAAATGTATCGAGAATTAAATCACCGAAATACTTTAACGATTCCGGAAACTTAATTTCCACTTGCACAAAAATACAAGCAGGTCTCACTCCATATCCTATAGAATTAATTAAAAGACTGAATTTCTCGGTGACACGATCTTCATGTGTAACTACGGTGACAAAATCTTGAAAATGAGGACTGTTTAATAGTATTTTGGTGTCAATAGTCACATTTTTCGCTTTGGGTGAGCGTGATATTATCACGTGACCATGCTTAAAGTAGATATTATTTAGTTCGAACCCAATTAATTCAGAGTTAAAATGATGAATTTCTTACCAAAGAATATCCTTTGATTTCAAGTTGAAAATTTTTTAATATGTCCGGATCGAACGTGAAATTCGTTGGGCCTTTCCATGGAAATTTAGGTTCCGAATTACACCATCGATTTCTATTATGTATTGGATGCTGTACATATCAACAAAGATTAAAACTTTTATTGGAGAACCTAAAAATCGATGATTGTCTCATAGAAAATATACAAACCTTTCCAAATAGAGAAATTAATATAATAACAGAGAAAATTAATACAAATAGTTTCGAGCAGCATAGGCAATATCTTTTCTTTCCTATTGTTATCGAAATATCAAATTTAAATTATTGCTATTACCACTTATCGTTATGATTAGTGTGAATAATAGATTTTTTGTTACCGCCCAACTGCACAGATGGAGCCGAAAAAAACGGGACATGAACACTTGATGGCAAAAAATCACAAAATCCTGAGGAATTGTTCCCTAACCCAATACTATTCTTATAATGGCTGTCAGCTTTATCAAGATTAACTTCATCACAATCATCTGTTAAAGAAATCGTTGTATATTCTTGTGTTTGAATTCATATTATAATTTATTATTAGGATTGGCACTTATTGTTTTTATATATGACCATTTATCTTAGTTAACTTACCATATTTTTGAAACTTTGGTGGTACACTTTCTGGATATCGATATACTTTTGATTTTTCTTCTTCAATGATATTATTATTATGATTTTCCATAATTATCCAATTATCAAACACAAAAAATCGACAAAGAAAAAAGAGAAAATTTATTCTGTTATTTTATTAATCAATGACCTTTTCCCAAAAAGCCACTATATCATCATACACAGTCTGGCTAAAATCCGGTTTTTTTATAAACATTGTGTTTCATGGACTAATTAGATCATAACTCTATTTATAAACTACGACCCATTCTCTATCTTTTTATGTAAAATTTATAACTATATGATTAAAAATAAAGGAATAGTAATGATTTTGAAATACACAGTGAAAGTCGATATAACGGACGATCGATATAGCGGATTTGATCTATAACGGACTATTTTTTGGAACCAGCTATAAATAAATTTTGTATGTTATAGCGGATCCGTAGGAACGGAGGGGTCCGTTATATCGACTTTCACTGTGTATAGCGTTTACTATATGTTGGGTACGCACTTAGTTGATCCACTGTGGTGAAACCCATGAATTTTTATTTTTGGATCCATAGCGAAGCTTCAAACTGTTATAACTCTAGTTCTAATGAAGCGAATTATTACGTGATAAAAATAATATACTGAATCAATTAGTTGTAACTTCAACATATTATAAGAAATATGAGATTCTACATCATTTGTTAAGTTAGAACTTCGATGGCTAGAATTTAGTCATTAATTTGTCACGTGTTTTGACCTAAATTACGGCTTGATTTCTTAATGCTGGCCAAAATCCAAATATTTGCGATTTTCCCTGCTTTAAACACGTGATCTTTTCATGTGACTTCATTTAAAATCTTAACTTTATAATCTAGCGGTAGGTATTTTTTGTTTGGCTCAAATTGTTGATATCTGGCTATTATTTTTTATAATTTGGCCAGCATTATTAAAAATGTTAATGTGAGCCAGAATTATCTCATAGGTTTACCAACAAAAAGTCACTCGTTTTAAATTAACGTTAAAGGCTATTTTATCGCTTGGGTTAGGACTGGAACCAAGATTAGTCTTGACATCAGTTTTCACATTTTTCATTTTCTTGTGTTTTGTGCATTCTTATTGGTTTGTGCTATCCAGTATGAGAAAAATTTACACGCTCTTGTTTGTTTGTGGGCGAGTATAAATTTCCGGCATCAGACAATAATTCTGAACAAAATTATTAATTAATTGACCAAAATTAAAAATATCGTTTGGCCCAAATTATTAGGGTGTGTGATATTCTATGTAGATCAAATCTATTCAAGATACAATAATAAATTTTCTTATAAAGTTTATATGTAATTTTTTTATTATTATTGAAATGTAAAAATATTCAACATACATTAAAATTATATCTTTTATATTATATTTTGAGAATGATATCTCTTTTCCTTGAAAAGTTATAAGCTTTTAGATTTTGTATAATTTTAAAAAAAAATTATTATTGAATCGTTAAAAAACCCAACATACAATTAAACTATACTATTTTAAGAATAAGTCATTATTATTGTATCTCAAATAGATTTGATCTACATATAATATCTCACCAAATTATTAAGATTTATAATCACATGAAAAATAGCTCTGATTGGTGTTCTCAGAGAACACTATATCATTTTGAGAACATAATAATGTTTGTTCTCTTATTGAGAACGTTCTAGTAAAGCCAGAAATGTCGCGGTACAAATATTACACATATAAAGTCATATCTATATAGCGAAGGCATTGGGTCGACCCATGGACTTCGTTATAGAGAACTCTGGGTGTAAATAAAATTTCTACTCATTATAAAAAGATAGCTTCGTATGTTTACAACTGTCGTTATATTCAGCCTTCATATTCGTGCGGCTAAATAATTTATAAATCAAAGTACAAAAATCTAAAGTTATTTCATTTTGTATTTTGTACATCGAAAACTACCAATCAACCATCAAGACATTCCGTTCGTTTTTATTATTTATTTTATTGTTGTGATCCCAACTGCACAATCACAAGGCCCTGAAACCTAAAAGTCTCCAAAAAAGGTATCAAAGATATATGGAAAGTGTGGGTGAATGTAATTGTCGTCGCAATTGCTTTCCTTTTCTTTATTTTATTCTGTTATTATGCACGGCAATTTTAGTGGCGTGATGGCAAATCAATGCAATGCACCTTGAGGTACAGATTTACTTTGATTTGTATATATAACGGATCATTATTTTATAGCTTTATATAAAAATTGACATTTTTTATTCATTCAAAAGAAAGTATGGAACATGCTTTGGAAACTACTTGCCGTTATTTAGAAAGATCACCTAATAAAAAAAAATACGGGTCTCCTGCAAAAAAGAAAACTTTATAGGGGCGCATGCATAAGTTTAGGCGAAACCCGAACCTTGTACTCATTCTATTGTTGACAAAATAAAAAAACTCCATTAGTGTTAGTTAATGCATGTATTTGGTTACTTGGTTATCAGGTTTTTTATCCTAGTTCCGGTACGTGTTCGCAGCAAGTTTATCGCTTGAATTATAACAAACCGTTTTCAAGTTTGGAGACAATGGAAAACCAATTTTTCTGACGTTTCTTTAATCGTTGGTCTACTTTAATGTTTGCTATAAACATTTAATATTTTTGTTTTTGGCAAGCTGTCAGTTTTTAAAAGTTAAATTTATGCAATTTTTTAAGAGTGTATAGTGAATTATTAAGAAATAAGTAGTAGTACTTGTGTAATCGAAAAAAGTGGTTATATGAATGACGATACAAGTAATTTGGGCGCAAATTTTTGTAGAATGAGATATATTTAGTAAAGAAAATAGTGGAAAAAAATACCGGCAGAGAAAATTTCGTAGGGGAATTCTATAAAAAATATTCTAGTTGCACATCTATTTCCAAAATATATACATGAACGAAATCGCAAATAAAAACGACGCGTTCTAATCACGTTTATAATTACAATGAAAGTAAAAACAGGGAAGACGAAATGGATTATGAAATGTTCAAGATAATAATCCCTAGCATCGTGAACTCATTTTCTTTTTGTTTTTTCGTCGACGGGGTGTGTGTGTGATGATTTTTGGTGAATCGTCCTCCGAGGATGTTGACATTGGTGAGACACCAAGTTCTTGCTATATGCAAATAAAAAAATAAGAGATTGTAAGAATAAAATACGCGTCTAATATTTAGAGAAATTTTAAGAGAATAAAAATAATTACGTTTAGATGAGCCATGACAATTTGATAAAGTTCTTCAAGTTCATTCTGTGCATCTAAATCTCCATTATCTGCCGCTTTTTGGAACCACTTTATCGCTTCTTGGCAATTGGATTTAGTTCCCCATCCGTATTTATAACAATTTCCGCAATTATATTGGCCAGTTACATCACCAGCTTCCGCCGACTTTAGATACCACTGAAATGCTTTCGTTAAATCTTTGGTGATGCCAATCCCATTCTCATAACAGAAACCAATTGCGACCATTCCGGCTGCATCACCGGCCAAAGCAGATTTTTGACACCATTCAAACGCTTTTTGATAGTTTTTTGGTGTGCCAATTGAATGTAAATAACAATAGCCGAGAAAACACTGTCCACTTGGGTCGCCTCCTTTCGCAGATTTTTGATACCAGAAAAATGCTTTTGCATCATTTCGTGGAATGCCGATTCCTCTTTCATAGCATCTTCCGAGACGATATTGACCACTAATATCTTCTCCTTCCGCGGATTTCTGGTAACATTCGAACGTTTTGAGGTCATTTTTTACGGTTCCAATTCCATTCTCATAACATCTACCCAGATTATATAGTCCCGCTGAATTGGCACCTTCTGCCGATTTTTCGTACCAATGGAATGCTTCGACGGGATCTTTTGTCGTTCCTTCTCCACTCCAATAACAATATCCAAGGTTATTTTGGGCACATAAATTTCCAGATTCAGCCGACTTCTTGTACCATTCGAATGCTTTAGTCATGTCTTTGGTCGTTCCAACTCCGGCGTCGTAACAGCGTGCAAGAAAGAATTTTCCAGCTGGATTACCGGCGATAGCTGATTTCTCGTATAGACGAAAAGATTGTTCGCAATCGCTTATCGTACCAATTCCTTTTTCGTAACACCGAGCGAGAAACAAATGTCCATATGAATAATTATTACAGGATGCAGTTTTATATGAAGCGAAAGCCGCCTGTTTATCGGCATAGCCAATTTCTCGCTCAAAACAGAATCCTAATAATACTTTAAATTGTCGTTTATACGATTGGCTACTTAATAAATCTAGTAAAGTTCTGGGGTGTATTTTATTTGATTTTAAATATTCATTTATTTCCTGTTCTATTTTTTCCCAACTACTGCCACGGTCTATTTCTTCTAGGAAAGATTTTGCAAGTCTATTTAATAGACCTTGGGTTTCAGAATTTGTTGTCAATGCAATATTATTATTTGTCATTTTTGATAGAATAATAATAATAATAATAATAATAATTTACGAGTAAAAAAATTGGCCAATTATTTTTTAAAATAGAGATAATTAAAAAGACGAGAAAGAAGGGAAAATTGTGGGGGTTAAAAATGTTTTTAAAAGATGCCGCAGTACACACAACATGCAACACAGAAACAACTTTGAATTTAAAAGTAAGAATATTTTTTTCATTTATCAATCATCTGTCGCGCTCTCTGTTTCTCATCGTTTGGATGGATGACCTTTTTCATTCACCATTTTTCCTGAATGCAATTCACACGACTAACCGGATTTCACATGTGTGTTACTTTAATACTTACTGTCTCTGTCTCTTTAATGCTTTCACTACGTCAGGAGACGCGGTAATGCAAAAGCACGCCTAAAAGATATGATAATATTGATAATATTTATTATTTTATTTATTATGATCAAACACACTATTTTTTTTATTTGATAATATTATTTGATATTGTTTTATGTATCGAGTAATTAATACAAGAATGAGTTTAAAGACGCAACGAATAATTTTTTATCATAACTATTGAGCTGGACGGAGAAAATATCGGTGATATGGAAAATGAAAAAATATATTTTTTCTTTCTCCCCGTTAATCCTTTAGTTGCCCACACTCTTTCTCTCTAACAACGAAAATCTTCTGCAGTTTCCATTCTCTTCGTTGGTCCAAGTATGCATGTATCAAGTATATCCTGCGTATAGCTAGCTGATTGCATTTTATTCACACAAAATGAAATGGTTGATGCTAACGATGTTGGAGATGATGGAAATAATATTTATGATGATTATGCAAAGAACAATGTTGTGTTTTATGCAGATTAAAGTTTATCCAATAGCAAAGTTTTTAAATAGGCTTTTTTGTTTGGACAGGGAGAAGAGAAAGAAAAAGAAAAGAATAGGCAAGTAGGCAGATTATAATTGACTGACAAATGGAGAGAAAACGTCGATGTAAATGCAAGCAAACAAGAAATAATAAATAATTGATCCTTTGCAGACGTTCAGTAAAGAGAGGGAAGGAAGAAAAAAGATATAGATGTGATAATACTTCGACATTTCGCGCCGGATAGATAATTATTTGATTCCGTGCAGATGATATATAAACACTCATCTATACATACATACATACATAGTACAGTATCATCCATTTTACAGCATAACAATTAGTTAATCGCATCAAGAGGTTTCTTTTTTCTTTTAATTGCGTAATAATGATAGTTGCAATAATACTAAGATGATCGAAGGGATCGATCCGGTGACTTTCGTTATTTTTTAATTCTTTCCTTTCGTCTCTTACTTTTTAAAACGATGATAGTATTAAAATAGCATAGCAGATAAAAAACGCAATGTGAGAGAAAGGTATAGTAGATAGAGTGGATGAATATCTGCGCGCCATTTGCCCTATCATCACACAAGAGATTGATTATGCAATTTTTTAAACGCGTAATTATTAAAAAAAGCCATTGCGCGTCAAAAAAAGTCGCGTCTGACTGACTTAATAATTAAATTATTTAGAATAATTTATAAAGTAATAGTAATTAATGTAAACTCATTAATTATTATTATGATAAACGAAACAAGAAACGAAACAAGTTTTGTTCATTATCATTCCCCACATTTCCCCCGCATTGATTTCCTTTCTTATAACTCTATCCCGTTTCTCTCTTCTCCTCTCTCATTATTCTACATGTATATAAATAATTATTCTGAATTCTTTCTCATACAGTAAAACAACAAAAACCAGTTTCTTCTTCAAAAGAAAAACAAAATCAGTTGATCCTTTTTTCTCGTTTGATTGTCTTAAAATTATCCATTGTTGTAAAGAATAGTGGGTGGCGATAATAATTTTTGCATGCAGAATATCGTTATTACTATTATATATTATATTGCATATTTATATTGGATATTTATATTATTATTATTATTATAAAATGAACTCGAGTTCAAAACAATCTATAATAAATCCTCTCGATATAGTGAATTTATTAATAAATTCTCGATATAGTAAAATTTTTACTAATAGACCTGGACCCTTGTATCAAGAGTCACTATGTATATTGAATACAAGCCATTCTTGTTATAGTGAATGCATCCGGGCTATTAGAGAAAAATTCACTATATCGAGAGCATTTATTATAGATTGGTTTGAACTCGAGTTCATTATATCAAGAGTTTCACTGTATATATCGAGAGTTCACTATGACGAGAGTGACGATTATTGAATTAACCCTAGAATGTACTCGCCCAATCCAGAAAGCTTTTGGTTTTCGCTTCGATACATGTAATTTCGTGATGATTCATGCTGTCTGCTTTGTTAAAATAAACCGTTGGCATTGCATAATGCCAGCACAACTCTCGTAATTCTTTCTTGAAACTACTACGCTAAAAAAGAAGCGTTCTCTTTCCGTTTCCTGTCAAAGCAGACGGCTATAGAATTAAGATGCATTCTAAATCATAAACCACATTCATCGTCAACGGCACTTTCTAATACGTGAATATTACAAAGGGTCATCAATAATATGCGGCACTTTGCAAAAGATTAATGCAAAATCTAATGAAGAAACCTCATTTCATGAATTAAAATTTTATTTTCTCTGACATAATATATTAAGCCAACATTAGCAAGAATACCATCATGAATTCAATTAGGCATATTTCAATCAACTTTTTACAAAAACAAAATGGTCACTTTTGGACACGATAACCTGACATCCAGTTATTCGATCTGAACGTAAATACTACCATTCAATCCACCTGGACGAGACGGATCAAATGGTGGTACCGTATTTCTCCGCAAATAGTACCCCCCCCGGTCTCTTACAATTTAGGAGCTTAAAAATTGATTAGTACCCTCTGGGTACGTTGTATGGGGTAGGGTATTCTAAAATGGTAAAAGGGATACTTAAATAATGGGTATATTACACAGGGTTATAGCATAAACTGTACTGTACTATGCTACATGTATTTAGATAAATCTATATTCCGAATCCTTTCCAATAACGTACAGTACAGGATAGTAGTTTTCTCGGTTGTACCCTGGTTTTGTTCTGAGGCAACCTTGATTAATCCTGTGGGCAAGCTGTCTTTTAGACAATTAGACAGCGTGAGAAAAAATATTTGAGGTAAGAATATGCAAAATCTTGGTTTATAACAATTTGTCTAAAAATATTGTGGATCCTTATATCAATTAGATAAAGGTTTTGAATGCATTAGATTTTGTATTACTTTCTTCCTTTATATTTTTAGACAACTTGTCTGAAAACTCACAATTTTCAAAATCTTGTCTAAAAGACAGCCTTGCTGTGGGTATTTTATTAAGAGGATACTATTTGCGGAAAAATACGGTATTTATTGTAATTCAATGCGGTGGTAAATTTGGTAAAATGTATTGTAATTATAAAATATATACCCTCTCTTTATAATGTATCCCCCCAAGTACAAATCACCTTTATTGTCCGTAAAATGTAACGTGTCTGGAGTATTCTATGTAGTGAATTACAAACGGATCACCAGATGCCAAGATACCGCGACCTAAACAAAATGGTAAAAAATCATGATCATTAAAAAATTGACATGGTCACTTTGGATGCATTATCTTAACACCAAGTGAATGTAAATACTGCCATTCGATTTGTCTCATCTAGGCGGATCGAATGATTGTATTTTTGCTCGAAATGAATCGCAGAAAGTTGAGATAATGGGCCCAAAAGTGATTGTGTTGTGTTTTAAAAATCATCTTTTTTAGGTCGCGGTGTTTTGGCATCCAGTGATCCGTTTCGATTGATCTCATCCAAATGGATTGAACGGTAATATTTATGTTCGCTGGACATAAAGCTATCGCGTTCAAAAGTAGCTATTTTGTTTTATAAAAATTTAATTGAAATATGCCTAATTGAATTCATGATGTTATTCTCATTAACGGTGACTGAACAAAGTATTAATTTATTAATATATTAGATAGAAATAGTCATGAAATGAGGTTTTTTCATTAGATTTTATTTTGCATATTATTGATGACTCTCTGTATAACGATTTTTTGGGCTATATAATTATATCTTCGAGATTTTGCTAGTAAAAATCTAAAATCTCGAGTAACATTACATTATTAATCTATTTCTAAGCGACACAATCTTGGTAATTTCCCGGCAATCTATTATTACAAATATATACCATAAAACATTCCGGCGATATGATTAATAATCTATTGTAACACTGAAAACCTGTATAAATAGAAAGCATCAAAGACGAGCATCGAGATTATCTCATTAAAAACAGTTTAAAATAAAAAACTAGAATTACAATTTCAAAATAAAAATCTCAAAAATGCCCGCAAAAATCGTTACACGCCGTTCAGGAGATCGTGGTTATGCGAATCACGGCTGGTTAGATACTCATCACACTTTTTCATTCGCCAGTTATTATGATCCGGAATTCGAAGGCTTCGGTTCGTTACGTGTTATCAATGAAGATAAAGTCGATCCACAATCAGGGTTCGGGACTCATTCTCATCGTGAATTCGAAATATTTTCGTATATTATCTCGGGAGAATTAGAGCATCGCGACTGTAAGTAAAAAATTTCTTTTGATAGAATTCAACAGAATTTTGGTTTAACACATAATCCTTTAGCAATAGGAAATGTAGAAATTCTCAAACGCGGCGATGTTCAATTCACGACAGCTGGAACTGGGATCTCACATTCGGAATACAATGTTCATCCCTCATTACCAGTACACTTCCTTCAAATTTGGGTAAAACCCGACACTGCTCGTCTTGCGCCCGAATATCACACAAAATCATTTACCGATACTGAGAAAACAAATTCACTTGTGCATATAATCGCACCAGTATCAAAAAATAATAATTCGACTATTGGCATTCATACCGATTTCAATATGTATGCTAGTATTTTAGAGCCAGGTCACAGTGTGAATCATGTAGTTCAGGGAGAAGGAAGCACAAGTAGAAGATTGTATGTGCATTTGGCTAGTACTGGTGGTCAAATTAAAGTTTCGGGAAAAGAACTGTTGAAGCAAGGTGATGGAGCTTTTTTTACGGATGTTTTACCTGATGAAGAAATTTTGTTCGAGAATGTTGGTGATAAAAATGGCGAATTTATATTATTTGATTTAGCTTAAGTACTTAATTCGAACTTGTCTCTTATTTAATTATATATTTTAATAAATTCGATAACCAATTTCATTGCTCATACTTCGTCGAATCCCGTGAGCGCAAAATAATCGTTTCACATATTCTGAAAATGTATGGTGCATAACATCTAAAGTCATCAAACGTAACGTTTGTATTTTATAAAATGTATAAACTTCTCAACTAAGAAGTTAATTCAAAATTTAATCCATAAATAAGCCTTTTCTACCGTATTTACGGATTAAATTTACTTCTTAGTCGAGAAGTTTATACATTTTATAAAATACGAACGTTACGTTTGATGACTTTAGATGTTATGCACCATACATTCATGAGTTGAAGAGATTCAGGAATGTAATCACGTTCATTGTGAAAATGTTGTTATAAGTAGTAGCAGTTTATAATTATTTGTACGTAAGTGCAAATAATTGAAATGAAATTACAAGCATAGCAAACATTTTGAAGAAAATTAAAACCTTCTAAATAAAACAGTTACTCATACGCGGTAAACAGAGATTTAAAGTGTAGCATTGTGATAGGATGTCATCTGGCTTTACTTCCAGCAAAATAAACAGATTTAAACTTCAATATGAGAACAATAAAATTAATATAACAAGTTTCTGTAAGATAAGAAGAGAGGAGTTACTTTCTGGAGTAATGTCAGCAACAGTCAAAAATTGTTTTCCAAATGTACTTCAGTTATGCAGTTGCTTTGCACAATTAAATTATTCAAGTTCTAATTTTTCCTAGCAGGCAAACACGGCTCTGCAAATGAAATCGTTTATAATGCTTAGTTAACAAGAATCATCTCCAGTAATACTTTCAAGAGCTAATATTTTAAGAATAAAAAATCATTGCATTTTATTTTTGATGTCACTTTTATATCATAGTATGAGTTTTATTATTGCCGAGAGACAACTATTACAGAAACTTATAAAATTTATGACATGATTTTTCCAAAACTATCCAATAGCTCACATAAGAAACTGATCACGAAGAATTCTTTGTTCGTACATTATAAAAAAATTTAAGTCAATACTTCTAGAATCACATTATTTAATAACGATAAGAAACATATCGTAAATCGCGGTTATAGTACCCCTTCCCTGAACCGCAATTTAGTCCAATTTTTTTTTAGCAAATCCAATTATTTTTCCGCAAATAATTAAATTTAGTTATTAATAGTCCTGAGGTTAAATTTTCTACAGGGAAGGGGTATTACAGTATGTACAACTTAGTTCCAACAATTAACTTGATAAAATTCAAAATCGCTACTTCTTGCTCAAAAAACCAAATTTGTCTCAGAATGATAAGTGAACAATGCCATGTTTGCAAATTTTCTGTAAAATAATTTCTAATAGAACAATAGTAATTCAAAGTTGGATAATTTCACTACATGTATTAAATATCTAATTTTTTGAAGCTTGAAATCCGAACATTCATAGCAAAATACCCGAGATACTTTAAAATTTTTTGGGGGTACAATACGAAATACGGTACAAAAATTTGCTTGCGTAACATGGATGTAACGAGTACCCTATATTGGGTATATTCGGAAAAATTCTAAGATAATAGAGATTATTGTCAAAGATTAATTTAAAGATTAGGTTTAAGGTTAGGTCTGGAGTCAAAATTGTATATAAAATTGTCTTTTCGACATTTTTGATTCTTGTGTCAAATTTGTTTTTCCGGGTTGATCAAAAATTTACGCATTTTTATTGTTTGTGTCACAAGCAAATCAAAAAATTCACGCATTCTTATTGGTTATCACGTGATTAGAACATGATTAATCACAAAAAACCAAATATGACTAATTATTATATATTTTTTATTTCACTTTTTCAAAATAAATAATGGATTATCTCATTTTTTAAATTAATTATTATGCTTTTCAAATATTTTTATATAATTACAATTAAAAGTTATTGAATAAAATATCAAAGTTACTCAAAATTACTTTAGAAATATTAAATAGTACCTGTTCATTAAATATTTCAAAGAATTTTATTTGTAATTCACTTAATAATAGTTTATCTAATGATAAAATCTCCTGTAAAAATCTATAGTATATACTATAGTATTTGATTTGTTAAAAAAACAAATATCTTTCTTTAAAAAAAAATTATCTGTAATATCACAAGTGAGTTCCTGATAAATATTTTCATGTCATAGATATTCAATTAATATTTATATTATTCATACTTTGTATACTTAATTCTGTTAGATTATGTTATTCAGAATTATCATATAGTACATCTTTTTCTATTTGGCAGATAAGTTCTCACTATTATTAATAAATAATTTTAAAATAATATAGTATTAATATTTTTTAGTAACTTGATAATGTTTAATAGTGCAAAATATAAGTATATTAATAGATATAATAATTATGAATAATATTTCTATGAACTAAACTGAATCAAATTTTAAACTTTGAACTTTTTTTGAACTAAAGTCAAAATCTGATTTGAGTTTGATTCAAATTTTGAATCAGATTCAAATTCAGATAAAACTAAACTTGAACTAAATCATTATGTAAATTCAAGTTTGATTTGAATTCAAGTTTGATTAAATTAAATTAAAGATTATTATTGTTATCATTTTTATTGATTTCAAGTTATCTACATATTATTCATGTATTTTTAATAATTAAAAATATATAAAACTTAATTTTTATAGTATGAGAGATTGAAAATTATTATTAAAGATAAATAATATATGTTTATATTATAATAAACTATAATGATATTCAATAACTTTATTAAATTTATTTAGAACTTTAAAAGTTATAATACAAATAATAAGTTTATTAAGTAATTATCTTTTAAATCAATAACAATAATTTACTATAAATAATCTATTTTTCAAGATCAAAAACCAATACAAATATAATTTTACAAGTTATCTGAAATTTCTATCAAACAAGAAACTTTTTGAGCTATTAAAATTATTTTTACCTAAGCTAAGATATATAATATATTTATATAAATTACATGTTATATAATATAATTAGTTCTATTATTATTATTACTAATTTAATTAAACATGAGAATTATTAGCATTAGTGTTTTTGATTAAAGATGAAATTGCAATTAGTTATAACTTAATTACAATTCTTTAATTGATTATTACAATTAATCACAATTAAATTATAATTTTATGATTGGATACTATTATTATTTTTATGAACTTTAAATTCTTGATGTGTTATTCATATATTCTATTAATTAAGAAGTAGAAAAAACTAAGTTTTATAGTGGAAGAGATTAAAAATTATAACTAAAGATAGATAATGTGTGTTTTTGTTGTAATAAGCTAGAATAATATTTAATAACTTTACTTAAACTTTTACTAAATTTTTTTATTATTTTAAAGATAATAATTCAAGGTAATAAGTCTTCCAAATAATTATTTTTCAAGTTAAATATAATAATTAATTATTTAATAATAATCTATTTTTCAAGACCAAAACCAATATTAAATATAACTTTATTAAGTTATCTAACAAGAAATTTATTAAAATAATAAGACTTATTAGCTAAATTATATTACTTTTATAATATTTGATAATTTATAAATACTACTTTTATTATGATACTATTACTACTTTTACTGATATTTAATTGCTTATTTTACTAGTATTATATTGCTATTTTTGCTATAATTAAATTACTAGTTTAACTAGAATTCCATTATTAGTTTAGCTCAGATTATTTTGCTAACTTTGCTATAATTATATTGCTTATTTTATCATCTAATATTAACAAATAAGATCTTTTCTAACTAGTATTCAATAAAATATTAATAAATATTATTCAATAATATTATGATATGAATTATCCAATAAAATATAAAAGAATTAATATAATAAAAGTTTATATCATAATAATATTACAAATCACAATTAATTGAGATGCTGTTATGAGTTTTGAACTCAGATAGATATTCTCATAATATAAAATATTCAATCATATATTTATATACTTCTTTGTATTATTACTAATTTTGATCCAGTTGCATTAAGATCAATATATAATGCAACTTTTTCTATTTTAATAAATAAAATATAATTACTATTATTAATATATATCTTTCTTTAGTATATAAATAATTATATAGTAATATAGTACTGATATTCTATAGCAATCTGATTAAATATCTAGTAATACAATAAATATTTATAAGATTTAATAAAGATAATTAAGTAATAGATATTTAATTAAAAATATTTTATTTAAGTCATTAGTTGGATTAATTACTATAACTTGCCTTTTTTATAGCTACAAGATCAGCTATATTTATAATAAATATTTTTCATTAATTAATATTACAAAATATAATAAATATAATAAATATAATATATTAGATATATTAGATATATTAGATATATTGGATATTTTTGATATTTTTGATATTTATAGAAATTATGAAATTATAAAAATTATAGAATTATAAAAATTATAAAACTAAATTATTAATAATAAATCATATGTGAAATTATATATATAAATAACATATAGAAATTACATATTCAAATAATATATTATATACAAAAATTATATAATTTTAAAATTGTTCAATAAGAATATAATAAATTAAATAATTAAAATAATTAAATTAAATAAATTTAATTATTAAAAATATTAAATATAATAAAAGTAATTAAATATTAATAAAATAACTATGTTATAGAATATTTGAATTATAACAATACTATTTTTATTTTTGGTATTAATACAAGTATTAATATCATTATTATTATTAATATAAGCATTATTAGTATTGCTAGTATTAATACAAATCTAAGAATTAATAATATTTAAGATATAATTGTTTAATAAAATAATAATTAACTAAAAATAATTATCCAATAGAAATATTAATAAATATAATTCAATAATAATTAATATCTTTATTATTTAATAGAATTATTTGTCAAATATTATATTATGACAAAATTTACATTGTTAATATTTTGCTCTGTAAAATA